ACACACACACACACAGATTCAGTTTCTTCTCCTGATATAAAACTATGTAATTATTGAAAAAGAAAGAATATATAACATTTTGCATATTAATAACTTATGGTCCTTAGAGGCCTCCGTACCTGGTTGTCTCTGAGGAAGATGGCGGGGCTGATGGTGTTGAGAAGAACGCCGTATGGACTCCAGCTGAACTTGTAGCGCAGAGGATTGTCCGAACATTCAGGAGCAGGAAGACCTCCGCAGAAAGAGCTGTACGACTCCACCTGAACGACACCATTATTATATAATCAACTCACTGATTAACAATGGCTTATTTCAGGACTAAGTTCATTTTTTTTTTTGTCCAATTTGTGATGTGTTAGTTAGGCGTCTACCTGATTTGCTGAAATTAGTTTAAATGTGTTTGTTACTTCAACAGAATGGTGTGAACCGCATGAGAAATTTATCATACACACACAGAACACAATCAACAGAGTTTTTTAATGCTGATATTGAGATCTGTTTAAAAAGTCTGATCTTGATATCGTCTTCTGCAATGGCAACAGTAGTGGATGGAAACGCGCTTTAGTTCTCATTTTCTTTCACTTTTGCAGAATTTCAGGAAATTTGGTTAAAATTTGGATGGAAACTTAACTGATACTGATCCACATACGGTATATATCCATGATAAGCTAATATCAGTTGATAACCATTGCTAAACATTTAACAAAAATCGATACATTGTTTTTGAGAATTTATACAATATCACAAAACAAAATATCGCAACCCCCCCAAAAGAATACACCACACCAGTTCCACCAGTTCATGTCTGACTGTGTAAGGTCGTCTGTTTCGGACTAAAGCCTGAGTGAAATTCAGCAATGTGGACTCTCAGTTTGTTTAATGGATCAATATGACTGCCATGAAGCCTGCATGTGATCAAACAATCATTATCACGCACGCACGCACGCACGCACACACGCACAGTCAGAGTGTGAGCTGACTCACAGTGCAGCCGTCAGCTTTGGCCCGGTCGATACACTCCATAGCCAGCATGTGGTCGATGCCGGGGTCCAGTCCCATCTCATTCACTATGGTGATGCCCGCCTCCTCCGCACTGACACAATCAAACACGCACACACATACACATTAAGTTAGTCCTGTGTTCACATTTCAAGTACATTAAAGTTATTAAAATCAATCCGTTGTATATGACTGACAGTTGAATAGCTCTGCAATGCATTAAGAAAAGAGCTGCCTGCATGCAAGCTGTGCTTAATGTCGTTTTATTTTATACACTTGCTGCACATTGGCTTCCAAACTGTGATGTCACAAAATGATCACATGTTAATCTGAGATTTCAGCCACGCAAAGAGAAACTTTTGCCCTTCAGCAGATGAATGTGAACTCTGGTGTTAACTGTGCCCATGTCAACAAATCCCATTTTATCTTTGTTGTGTCATCACCTGCTCTGCAGCTCCTTCATGGCAGGACTCAGGTAGCTGGCTGTCACCATGTTTACCTTCTTTTTGATGCAACTTTTGGCGATGAGTGGGTGAAATGAGTATGGCAGCATGCTGAGGAGCACAGGGAGGAAGTGAGGTCAGGACAGGTGGTTAATTAATGTATTTGGTATATAGCAAACTAATGCAAATTGAGCCCAGAGGTGATCCTGATAAGCTGAATCTGAGAGGTCCACACAACTCCATTTTTCTTCCATACAATGAAAAGAATAGCCTCACTGAGCTGCTAGGGAGGCTACACACATTCAATATTATCATTACAGTGCGCACTTCTTGGGTTGCTTAAGTCACTGGGGCAAGGCTTTCTTCAGCTAAAATATGCATCACTTTTTATGAAAAACTTAAAATGACTCCAAATGGACTAGGAGGATTAAAGACCTCCAGAGAAGATATAGAGGAGAAAGCACCCAAATAGTTACTAAATGTCGGTAGTCTGGCAATGTAGCTTAAAAACTAGATGTCATTCAAAAGCCCAATATAGATGGGTTCTTCAGGCCCCACCTCCTTTAGGGGGTGTGACCAACTGAAGATTGTCTAAAATGACTGTCCGACTTCAGAGAACCTAAATATAAAAGGGAAGGAAATCTCTTCATGATATTCACCTGGTGATACAGTTTTATATCAGAAATAAATAAAAAAATCCCACCCTGCCCTCAAATACTTCAAGTTTACTTTAGATAAAAGCACTGATGACTTCTTCAATCTATCCATCCACAGGCTGTATGTCTGCCTGTAACAATATTTTGCTCATGCTGTACCTGATGACCAGGTCATGATCTTTGACCAGAGAGTCGAGGTGTCCTTCCTGGCTGCTGGCGTCCAGCATGACGGGGATGGTGTTGGGATATTTTGCTGCCAGCTCCTCTGCCTGCCTCAGCAACACCGACGCTGACAACAAAAGAAAAGAAAGCTCAGGAAACACAGTCAGTGGAAGGTCTTATATGTACCAGGTCCTGAAGAGGTTTTTTTTCTGCGATAAACTATTAGATTGCCAGCATTTAATTGTCCAGTAAATCAAATACATATTTAGGCAATTAAAAACTCTCTACTAAATCTACTAAAGGTATGGTTAATTTTTTTTTAAATGCCCTGAAAACCTATTTTCTTACTCAGCTTTGTCCTTGCACTTGCACTTGTGATCACTGGTCACGTGATGACACGTGAGCAAGTTTAATTTGCTAATGAAGACTTTAAAATGTAAAGTGGACCTCTTAACTATGTCGTTATATATTCCAAATAACATGTTATGGCTTTTCAAAACTCACCCACAGTGACCTGGGTCCCCTCGTCGCGAGTCAAATACTCTACTACAGGTCCGGAGACGTATCCTGAACCCAGCAGCAGGACGCGCTTCATCCCAGTCTTCTTCATGATCTGTGCCTTCTCCCTGAAGCACATCAGACACCCTGACTTAGAGCCACATCACAAAAAACTTCAACACATAATACACCAGTGGGTCTAAGTTACTGTGTTTCCATCCAACAGGCTGAGATGTTAAACGATAGTTTTTAAAGTTGGAAGAACAACAAAGAAAGTCATGATTTTAAAAAGGTCCAGTGTGTAGGATTTAATGGCATCTAGCAGACTGCAACTCCCTCACTTCACCCTGCCCTTCCAACGGCTCAATCTACAGACAGATGGAAGGCAACTGGCAGCGTCTGTAGATATTCTAAAGGTAATAAAAACAACTATTCTTATTTTCAGCTACACATTGGACCTTTAATTTATCCATCTGCTGAACTGTCCTTCAGATTTTCTTTACAATACTAAACAGAATTTATCAAAATCTGCTCCTTAAAAATGGATGATTGAATGGAAACCAGTCTATTCACCCATAGGTGTTAGTCTTTCTGGCTGAGCAGAAAGAAAACCATGCACTCAACTTTGACTCTTTACACATTTTGTTTCACAACAGAAAGCTTCCAAAACTGCCTTATTTGGTTGTTTGGCGTTTCCCCTGGAGTTTTTCTGAATGTACAACTTTGGATAACAAACAAATACACAACATTTATGTGCGTTGTTGAATTTCAGAAAATATTAATGGACAAAACTGGTACAGTAGAGAATCCCTGAAATGCAATTAAGTCAGAGAAAAAGAAAGTAAGGATACTGTGAATAGCAAACATGTCCAATTGTTTTCTACAAACATTAAAACTATAATATTAAAATCAATTTCTCTGACATCAGTTTGTTTTAATACCATTTTAACTCTACAGTGCTTTAGTTCATTTGTCTAATTTAAGTTTAGAATCAGTTAGGTACCGGTGATGTGTTTTAATCATACATATGCCTTTGTTGTTTTTATAAATGAGCTAACATTTGCCTGTGTAGATCTCAGATCACTTTATAACATCTTTGTTGTAAGAAAGTAATGAGTATAAAGTCAAAGTGGTAGTGAGACTTCTTTGATCAATTAAACAGTATCGTTATGACTGATGAGGATCTGGCCTGGACCAGGAGGAGAGGAAGAGAAAGGCGAGCTGGGGTGGGAGGATGAGGATGATTAGGATGATGATCATGGAGAGGAGGGTCATCCAAAAAATAAAAAAAATAATTAACTAAATCATAAAAAAAACAAAAATTTGTAGATCTTTTGTGTGTTTTTTATTATTATTTTTCTTTAATTGGAGTTGGGATATTTTATAATACATTCTTATCGTCATTAACTGACATTTATTTAAGTACAAATGTAATTAATTAATAATTGAGCATGTGCCAATTTCAGTTTTCAGTTCATCCTGGACTTAGAAACTATGATTTGATCTCCAGCCCTGATCACATATGTAACCCACAGTGAGAATGAAAGCCATATGAGTCTGCTGCACTAGGAAGTATCAGCTCTCAAGCCTTTTAATTAAACTGAGAGACCTTCTCCAAAACAACTGGATTCAGTTAAAAAGTCTGTGATTTTGATGGATTATCATAACAACAATATCATCCCAAGAGGCATCAACCCGAGTGACCTGTGTCATTAATATACCACAACCAACCACCACCACCCGCCGCAAATCCCCTAAGAGTGAGACCCCTGGACTCGTTAGCTTTGGCCTAATTGGATGCGACACCGCACACATGCACGAGTCGCAGCGGGACTGACTGGAGGTCTGACCGGCAGTCCGCCCGCCGCCAAGCATCATCTTCTTAATTAAAAAAAGAAAAGAGACGTTCCCTCAGGAGGATTTCTCCCTGAGTTTACATATCTTAAGGAGCCAAACTCATTTAAAAGGATTAAGATTTGGTGGCATAGCTTGTCTGGAAAAATGATACAATTAGGAAGAAAACTCATCAAGTCTTAGAGGTGGCCTAAATATGAGCGAGCAGGACTCTTCAGTGTGAAAAACACTGAGACTCAAGTCTCAAGAAGAGGCTGAAAAATCTTCAATCATGTTGTTTATAGAGCCATTCGAGAGCAAATCTACACTGAGCCGGAATATTAATAAACTCAAGAAACAAACATTATTATTGTACCCATAAGAGTTATGGAGAATGCTCATTAAAATGCAACAAAAGCAAAACTGACTGAAGCAGAAGATAAGCGGAGAGGGCTTTAAAAGAAATAGAAATGTATAATCAGTTGACATTGTAGCTTGAGAAATTAATCAAAGCAGATTAAAAAGATTCTTAAAAATAAGGAACAAAATGCTGATTTCACAGATTGCAAGTGAATGATGAACATGGAGATGAGCAATTTGCTTGCTGTGTTATACAAAAGATCAATTTCATCTCTGTGAGTCCAGTATAGGCCGACCAGTGAGATCCAAGACGTGTTAGCCTAGCTTCAGTTAGAAACTGGTGGAAGTGCTAGCCTAAAATGGTGGCATTAACAAGAATGGGGTCCATCTGGAAAGAGGTAATTATAACAATAAAAGGATCCTCGACTGTGTCTATTAGGTGACAGGTCGTCTTTACATAAGGTTTCTAAGCTTTAAGGGTAACTGTAACGGTAAGGGTTGTCTGTTTCTAATCGATTCCCCAAACCCCACAACACAAACTTGGGTTCCTAGTGAGACTTAACATTTGTAAGCTACTAAGCTAGCATTAAATGGCCAACATGTTAGCGAGAGAAACAACAGAAACAGTGTACAGCCACGCTAGTGGCTGTGTGAGGTTTTACTTTGGCAAACTAGGTAGATGCTAATATTATTATGCTAACATGGCCAAAATGACAACATTAATATGCTGATGGCAGGTAACGTTTACCAAGACTGATTGAAATGGCTTTTGTTGTTTGTTCTTGTTTGTTGACCTTATGATGGCGCAAAATGAAAAGTCTAATTTTTTTTCTCTTTTAATGGAGAAAGGCTAGCAGTTTCCTTCCACTTCCTGTATATATGCTATGCTAGGCTAAACACATCTGAGACCAATCAGAGGCCTAATTCACAGAAATGAAAGTGATTCATTTCCTCATCTGACTCTAGTGAAGATGGCTGTCCAAACTTAAAAACTACATGTCAAACCAGAGGAAGCCAGAAAAAGACTGATGCGACAGAAGGGGTGACAGTTTTTGTGTAAAGTGAGAAGAAAACATGTTTCTACCCCTCGACACCGAAGGGTCCAGTGTCCGACGTAGGTGTGACTGATAAGCACACTAGCCATGCAAGGTGTTAATGCAGAGGCAGGTTGGCACAGCAGACAGCAGAGGGCAGCACTGTGCAGGAATAACCATAGGTGACTCGTTAGTCGCTAGAAGTCCCGCTTTACACGCTGATGGCTTGAGGACACTAAAACGTCACAAATTGCAAATCTAAAAAAGGATAAGTTAAAGAGGGAAAACAGCAACAACAGGACTATAAAGCACAAATGTTACTTAGCTTTTAGTAGGTGGCTATTAGCTGTAATGTTAGAACCCTAGAGTTAAGACAGTACAGGTGATCTACTTAGGAACAGGATAAGCACAATTTAAACGTTACCTGTCTCGTAATCTTTAGACATTTCATCCATAGATTGGTTGCATTAACTCGCAGATGGAACAGGTGAGTGCCCAAGTAATTATAATTTTTATTTTTTTTTTACATTTTTTTAGGAATAAAATAAGAAATCTACAGAATTATCCCCAAACACACGCTACACATTGTACAAAGACGAACAACAAATACAACACAGTGCAGTCCATTTACAGTTCCAGACTGAAATAAGTCTTACCTTCTTTCTCGAAGCTTCTCAATGTATTCAAACTTTGGGGTGAGTGCTCCGTTTGAAGTGATGACAGCCTTTAGGGACAAAGAAATGAAAAAAGTTAAAAAAAACAACAAAACAGCTAAATTATTTGATTTGTTTAAGAGTAATCTTGTCAGATAAATAAAGACGCTAGGTAATGGGCGTCCCATATGGCTGCAGCGGTCATCCCCCTCTCTCTCCCCCATTAAGATTGGTGGTCACAGTATAAACTGATGGAATCACTACATACACTACACTATCTAGGACAGACCTTGAGGCTGTCACTTAAAAATAACATACACAAAGACATGTTAAATATATTACCTCCATCTAAATGGCATGAAAAGGTCAGTAGGTTCAGTAGATGGGACAAAGGGACGTGCCAACGAGCTAAACCTGTTCTTCAATAGGTTTGACTCAACAAACCTCCACCTCCTCCTCCTCCTCCTCCTCCTCCATTCACACCCTGGCTACCCTCCTCTCACAGCCCTGTCTCCCCCTTGACGACAGTAACACCACCCCACTCACTGACAGACACAATACGTCAGACCTGCACAGACTGCATTGTCAGATAACGAGCAGCCATGGTACACCAAAGGAACTGTACTATCACCAGTTTCCTGTTCACCCTCTGCACCTCTGAACTTCTGCTTCAATCTGGTGAGTGCCACCCTACAGAAGTTCTCCATGACCCTTCCATTGTCGGCTGTATCACAGATGATAGGGAGGCAGAGTACAGAGACCTGATTGAGAGCTTCCATTGGAATGGTGCGTAGGAACCACCTACAGCGATCAAAACACAAGAAAAATTAAAGAGGCTTGTGGTGGCTTCTGGTGCTGCAAGAGGCCTCCCTTCCTCAGTATGAGCATTAGGGGGGAGACAGCGTAGAGATGGTGGAACACCTACAAGTTCTGTGGGGGTGTCAGCTCAACAATAAACTGGAATGGCACACGACCACCTGAGGTCCTCTAACAGGAAAAGGAAGAACAGGATGTTCTTTCTGAGTGTGCACTCGGTACTCCGGAATGTTCTACCAGTCTGTTGTGGCCAGTGTCCTCTTCTTTGGCAGTGGCCTGTGTGGGGGGAGGCATCTGCACTGGGGCACCAACAAACTGAGCAGGGATGGAGCTTGACAGTGTGGAGGCTGTGACTGAGGAAGAAGGAGGAGAGGGAAGCTGAACAGCCCATCATGGCAAACCATGTCTCCTCTCTACACTGAGCTGAGGAGCTAGACTGACCGCAGCCCCGAGTCTCACAAGCCGCTTTGGAGCTCATTTGTACCATCAGCCATCAAGCTCACAGGCCACAGCAGCCACTACCATCCAACCCTCCGTGATATAACACTGGTTTAACTCCAACCTCAACGCAAATTTTTGCACTATTTATCTTTAATTTCCACATGTAACAGTTTAGTTATTAGTCACAGCTGGCTATATTTTTAAGCACACCGTTCCTACTTGAATTATTAACATAGTGTATATATGTTTACAAATTTTTATAGTCTTTCTATTATATTATGGTAATATTTTTTTGTGATATTTTTTGTACTCCTCTTGTTGCACTACTTCGAACCTGCCTGCTGTGTCAATCTTGAGGGGAGGATCATAAAGGAACATATTATCTTAAATCCTTATGTCTAAAAATGTTTACGCAATCATGTTCAGAAATGAAGAGATCTGAAAACAATGATCACATGTTTCTGTAGCCAATAAGTGAAATATTTAACTACTTTCTAATATGCAATTACTTACGTCTCTGACTTGTAGGGCTGAAGTCCTCCTTCCTCCCGCGGTCTGGTGGCGTCTGAAGGCGCTGACGAATCACAGACCATTAAATTTAATTTAAAAAAAAGAAAACTGGCAAAAAACAGTCCCGCCTGTCAGGGTTTTTTCAATTTAGTCAGTTCACGATAAAACCTGCTGCATCGCCGCTCTTCCCACAGCAGCAAACTTAACCAGAAGTCAGCAGAAGCCAGAAAGCAAGCACAGGCAGACCAGAAACCCGATGATGCCACCAGATGTTCTCACCTCCACCTAAAACCCTCAACCATTCTACCATCTCCCAGAAATACGAAATAGGGGGAAGAGTCGGTCTCCAAAATACTCAGTGGCTTCGATGGGGAGCTTGAGCGGGAGGTTGTCAATGGGCACATCAGAAATCCCGTTATTCCCTCCACACTGGGGCCAGGACCGAAACAGTATTGTTTACTGATTGGAAACGACAAATAGTTAGTTACCATATCGTCTTGGGATCCAATTAACTCTTACACGTATGATTAACAAATGTTTAACATATGCAGTAAATAATACAGATGCAATATCACCATTACACCACAAAGTAAAAATCTCATATATAATTTAAAAAAAAACAATAAATATAATTCTTTCAAACAAATAACTGGAAAATATTAAGAAAAGCAAACACTGAACTGAATCAATTTAATGTTAAATATGTTGCTTTTTTTTAAAAAAAAGTGGCAATATGTAAGAATTTTTGTTTTAAAATCAAAAGTAAATGGATTTAAGAAACAAACAGTTTTTTGACATTGTGCTATGCAGAGAGATCTACTAAAGTACATGCTAAACCAGCTAGCCCAGGCCAGCCCTATACTTCTCATAACTTTCCTTTGTATAATAGGTCCAGGAAAAACACTTTTTCATGTATTTCATTTACAATGCCAATAATACAAGTAGCCTTGCGAAAGTATCCTCGCCCCTTGAGACTTCTTCAACCTTCGTTGAAACTACAATTTAGGCTTCAAACAATAGAAGCATAATAAAATTTTTATTTTTGTGAAGAATCACCAACAAGTGGGACACAATTGTGAAGTGGAACGAAATCTATTGGATATTTTAAACTTTTTAGCAAATAAAAAATGAAGAAGTGGTGCGTGCAAATTATTCGGCCGTTTACTTTCCAGTGCAGCAAACTCACTTCCAGAAGTTCAGCGAGAGACTCTCTGAATTGATCCGCCCAATGTTAGTCCTAACAAAAAATGACTGGATGGTGTAATACAATCAAGGAATTCGCACCTGTGTGTAATCAAAAGTTCTCTGTATAAAAATTGGCCAACCTGCCTTCTGTGATAGGGGTTCTTCTCAGGGTTTTCTGTTTGAAAGCGCAGAGATAGCATTGCATGGAGAGACCCTCAAGGAAAACACACAACCAGGCAAGGTTCCGTTAATTTACTGTTGTGGAGAAGTTTAAAAGCCGGATTGATAGGCTAACAAAAGAACAAATTCTCCCAAGCTTTAGAACACCATCCCAAGGAAGGCACTGTGCAAAAAAGAGCGGGATATCATTTTTTTGAAAAATGTGGGAAGAGGAGGTAATCAGGACCCAACTGCAAATCTACCAGGAGACCTGGCCGGAGTTCGCCTTCTTAGAAACTTGTCACGGGCTTCAGGGACAGAGGAAGGAAGACTGATCAGAAGATTGCAAGCCAAACAACGAGGCCCCAATTCGATCCCAGCCTCCCTGGGATTTGAAAACCTTGGCAGAGGAACTACAGCTTGGAGGGTTGGAGTGGGAGGGAGTCTGGCTCCATAGGAAAGGGCAAGGAAACATCAGGTTCGTAACCACCTGGGCCACAACAATCCTGGGCCCTTTTTATTGGAAAGAGTGGCACAAAGAGAAGGAAAGCCCATTTTGCTCAAAAAGATATACCCATTAAAAAAGGTTCTCGTCTGCTAAAGGTATTGCCACAAGCCCACCTGGGAGGACAGCAACACCAAACCATTTGTGGAAGGGAAATGGTGCTCTTGTTGTCCAGATGAAACACAAATGAAATCGGAACTTTTTTTGCCCACCAATGCCAAAACAGGATATGTTTGGCGTAAAAAAGGCAACCCCCCTCAACAAAAGACTCATTTCACCACCTTCCAACCACACCATCCCCACTGTTTCAACGCAATGGTAAATAACAAATGGTGGTAGGCACAGCAATTCATAAAGAGTTATGGAGCCTAGCAATACATATATATCTAATGACAGATCAGGAGACAGGGAGAAGGATAGGATAATAAAATTAGAAAAAAATGATGGGAAGATGATACCAGCAAAAAAAAAACCAATAACAGAGAACAATAGTCTAAGAGATAGAAAAAACACATGTATAGGAGTCTGCACAAAGACAACTGAAAAAACACTGGGAGAAACGGAGATAATATATCCTATCCCAACCAAAGAAACATATGATCCCCAAAACATAACAGCCAAAAAAATCTAACAAAAGAAAATTGGTATTCACAAATAAAACGATAAATCCAAACGGTGTCCTAAGAAATGGCCGAAGTTTCCAAAGTCACAGATCCCGTGTAGAACCTCAATCGAAAAACATTCTTGTGGAAAGAGCTGAAAAACTTGCTGTCTTCAAACAAAACGCCTCTCCATTACCAACCATCAAACTGAAGCCTTCCGAGCCTGTTTATGGGCCTAAGGAAGAATGGGCAACGAACTTCTCAAAGGATTCTCTCGATGTATTGTGCAAGAAAAACTGGATAAATAGGACGACATACCCCGCCCCATAGCGACTTTTGGCATGGCTGTATACCTCGCCAGCAAAATGGTGGCTCTATACAAAAATAGTTACTAACGCAAAGTGACACTATAGAGCGAAGTAATATGGGGCCGAATCAATTGTTGCCGACGCCCCAGGCTGTATCACTCTTTTTTTCATTAGTTAAAAAAGTTTATCAAGAAATCCCAATTAGATTTCGTTTCCAGCTTTCCACCCAATTGTGTTGTCCCCCACTTGCGTTGGTTTGATCTTCTTCAAACCAATAATAAAAATTATTAATATTTCTTCTATGTTTTGAAGCTGAAATGTGTCAAAGGTTGAAAAGTTCAAGGGGGCCGAATACTTTCGCAAGGCACTGTATATGTAGTTAAAACGTAAATGTGAAGTGCTAACCAGAAAGCAGTCACGTGTAGTTTTTTTATACCAGCGAGAGCACAGTGGAAGTCGTGTTAAATAAAATATTACTGCAGTGCTTTTACTTTGAAAGTAAAACTGTACTGCCAAAGTTTAAACTGTAGTGAAATATGTGGATATGACCACCAACAGGTCCTCTCACTGTGCTCTTTAGCTGGGAGACGCGCGTTGTGCGGTAAAAATAGGCGAGGCTGTAGCATCTCTCCATGAATCCCTGGCGGGAGGGACTAACACACAATGACACTATAAAAAGGAAAGAAGGAACCCGTTAAAGTTAAAACTGCAGCACTGAGATCGATCTCATAACCGGGTTATAAAAAGTATGACAGCATTGTGATTGATGGCGGTTGGGATTAGCGTGAAGTTTCTCCCCACTGGGAGAGAGTGCGCATTTACGCACGAGGGACGGCAGCTTCATTAATTGGTTAAATCTCAGACACACCGACAGGATCTAATGTTAATCAGTGTTATTTGTTGTGTTATTTTACACCTCCAGAAGTTCCCACACACAGTCCAGGTTCATACAGGGGAATTGTTCAGAGTAAAGCAGCAGTCCTCCTCCTGATAAATCCTGCAGGGACTACTGCTGTGCCTGTGGAAACGTTTAAAATGACTGAAAACATCCTCTCTAATCATTACAGTAAATTAAGAAAACACTCAGACTGCATCAATACAACACAGAATGAAGAAATCCCCTGAAAGCTCAGACTGCTCGACAGAAGAGCCACAGGAATCATTTCTGCTGGCAGAATGCCTTAATATTGTTCGTTCATTATGTGCATCGTATGTATTGATATTGTAAATGTATTATTGAATAACCTAGAATATGACTGACTCTTTCTAACATTGGGAAATATTTATGACGTTAAATGTTTCAGGGAAAATTGAAATGATGTAACTCATATCAAACCCGACTCAGGAATATTCAGCCTCATGGGAGTGATTGGAAATGAAGATAAAATACGTAAAACGTGTTCCTTGCTGGCAGACTCTCTTCTGTGTCTGACTGTAATATGATCATATTAAACGGCGCAACTGCAGCATCCAATCAATAACTGATATCCAATAAAGGCGCTCGTCAGTCGGTAAAAAACGTCCGTGAAGGCTGCCCTCGTGTATCTTTGCTCCTCGGTGCAGACACAAGCGCTTTGGGACGGCCTGCAAGATGGCGGACCAGAACAACTTCCGGTTCAAGCAAGGACCGAGACTTGTGATGTAACGTTTGTTGTCCCCATTGACAGGTTGTCCCCGATGTCAGAGTCCTCCAAATGCAAACCCGGGAACTTTTAACCAGTTACTTTCTTAAAAACTTTACTAACAGACTAACGAGTGAGTTACTCCAACCACTGAACGCTACCATCTTTTGTTGTTGGGTTTATCACAGAGCAACCATGATTTCTCTTTCTTACATGCTAAGTGTACAAACTATAAGGCAGTTTCTGTCGGGGCCAGTATGAAACACAACACATACGTGGTGAGTTAGCAGGCTGGCTAGTTAGGTAGCTAACATTAGGGATAAGTAGTTCCTTCACTTTTGAAACAATATTGTAAGTATGTATTGTAAGTCTTGGCCTTTTTTACATTTTCCAAGCTTTCATTTTGCGTCGAATCAAATTTATTTTGGTTACAATTCATCTTGTAATTGGTTGACTTGATGCCAGGATTAAAACGTTTTATTTTCTGAAAATGTCAGTTAAGTAAATGAATGGGAAATTCAATTCGGGTCACTGTTGAGCTCTATGAACTTGACAGGTGGCCAGTTCTTATATATTGCACCCTTAAAGCTGAATTTTCCATTGTGTCAGCACTATAGAAGAAGAGTTAGGCTGCGTTCACACATAGAATGTTTTACATGAAGAAAGGTGATTTCATGTTCCTATTAAAGCAGAGTACTGCAAACAATAACAGGATTCCACAAGTTCTATTGTGCCACTTTGGTTTTGTTTGTTTTGTTGTTCTGCTGCTCTAATTCTAAAGTAAATGTATAGAGAGTCAAATTATTTCATCCTGTGTGTTAGCAATATCTAATGCGACAATTAAAAATAAGTCCTTAACAAAAAAAAGTGTCCTGTAAGAAAAAAAATAGTTACAGACTAACAACATAAAACAAATTACTCAAATTATGTCACAGGACCAGAAAAAAAAAAGACCATATTCTAAAAAAAAGACCAGTCTGAAACTATTAAACAATAAATGGAGACTAATGCATCTAGATTCCATTTTATCAAAACAGAATATTTCTACAGCAATAATTTAAATTCACATATACAGATTTGAAATCTGTTCTAGGCAGAAAGAATAATAATAACCTGAAATCTTGAACATCGGACACCAGCAGCCTACAGATCAGATGAGTAAAAGTCAAAATCTTTAACAGAAGAAGAACCAAACAGAAACGTGCAGGTGATGTTGGTAAGAAGACAAAGGTCACAAAGGTCGGTGCCATACCTGTCGTGATCTATGTGCTGGTCTGCGTCGTACATACAGAAAGGCTTATCAATGGTGGTGCACTCGTTCATGAACCCTATAGAGCCTCCAGTGTCAGCAGATATGTCACAGATAGCCAGCAGTCTGTAGAAAGAGAGAAGAGGCCGTGTTCAAGAGGTCAGAGAGACAGGCTGAACGGTCACTCTGTAAACACGACTGAAGATAAAGATGTGACTTTTGACCTCTGTGGTAAATACAGCAAGCAACCCACTGCACATCTATCTGCTCACTAAAGCTGGCAGTCAGCCATCAGTGCGTCACTGTGTTTGACTGACAGGTCTCAGTTAGAGCAGGGGACTGATTCTTTTCATCTTGTACTCATGAAAAAAATAAATCTGTTGCCCTGTGATGCTGATTATACCCAGGCATAATGACTGGATGAAAAACCGAAAGGCATCTTTGCTGTTCTTAGACTATATGACCAAAACACAAACCTGTTGTCCTGGTTTGATCTCTTAATGTGACAGTATTCACAACTATATTTTACACTATCTCTGTTCTTCTATCTTTGTGTCAACAGTTGGTGTTTGCCTTTTTCCTGTTTCAATATGCCTCCGTGCACAAAACCACGTTCATTTGGACAATGCTAATTCATCTGGCTTGGTTAATGTGTGTTTGATGATGTTAGGCACACGCCAATGATTTATTGACATCTACAGATGCAGTGGTTGATGATATTCCAAAACAATGACTTACTTGTGTGGCAGCACTGGTGATCCCTCGGTGGCTGTACGCGAGACTTTGGGCGGTCTCATTAGCTTCTGGGCGTCCAGTCTTCTGAGTAGTCGGGGGGTGTGGGGGTCCCAGTAAATACCATTGATCAAACAGGTTGTGTACGGCGCCACCTGTGGTTAAGATGAATAAACTGTTTTATTTAGTTTTAAAGATACACTCGGAGTGCTCTTTACATGGCAGACAGTCCCAGAGGTAGAGAGGCTGGCAGCATAGAACAGGAGATCTCAAGGAGGTTCTGTTCCCGTTTATTGACCAAACGATTAATGGAAAACCAACATGATTGATTGAAAAAAAAAGAAGTCAACATATTTGTCTATATAAATAAAATTCCCTTTTTCATTACAAACTTTTTACATATTCTTGTTACTTGGATGATCAGGCAAATGTACTGGTTCATTCTCTGTGAGGTCCTTTGAGCCATACTGTGATGACAGTCAACACAGCTGCTACTGACCAGTAGCGGTTTAGCATTGATGACTGAAATAGAGGACGAGACCTCTGAGTGACCGACAGGAGCAGATGGGAGTTTGTACGAGGGGTGTTGTAACTGGGGGCTAGCGAAGGGGTGGTGGGATTGAAGTAGACTCACGCTGGTCCTGAAGTGTGAAGTATACAGTTCCGGGTGGTTCTCGTACTCCATGGGGTCATAAATTCCATCGCTCTTCCTCATCAGGTGGTGATGTCGGCTCAGAACGGTGGCGTACACTTTGGTCATATCTTACAGGAAAACAATAAATACCAACATAAAGTAAATTATCATTTATGAACTTTACTACAGAGCTCCTACAAACATAAACAGTTCCTTCCTAACTGCTGTTGACTTTTAAAGTCCACATGTCGGCACAATTAGTAATTCACACTATAGACACTGCACCGCCATATACTAGGTTTTGACCTAGTCTTGTTCTGTATGCCATCAGAAAAAGTGGTTATAATCACATAACACCTCTACACGTGGTGGTTTCAATATGCCACAAGTCCATCATGTGTGCCAAAATGTTAAATATATGCATGTTAACCTGCCACTGTTAGCATATTACTATGCCAATAGGTGACATTTAGCCAGCTGCAATATTTGTGTCTGTTGTGTATGTCTAAGATATGGTCTGCAGTTCGCATGAGAGATTTTTCACATTTTGTTCTTTGACAAAAAGAAATTACTCCACCCATGAATTTTGAAGCTTTTACAGGTCTTTAAAAAGGCTGTGGGTGACATTTAACGTCAGCGCAGCGAACACAGCGACTTATGTACTCACTAGTTCGCCTTTACAGCCCTGTTGTTTATACTATTCTAACTATTCTTTTCCAACTTGTAGATTTTATTTACAACATTTAATTACAAGTTGGAAGTTTAGTGGTGATGACGTTGAGTTCTTGTGACCGTGGTGTAGTTTGTTTATAGCCTATTGTAACGCTAGCTTTTCACTTCTGGCGATCACATTAACACTTTAAAAATTTGAAACATTTGTGAAGATCAACTCGCTGAACAAAAGGTCTAAGTATTAGAAAACTTTGTTTGCTACAGAGCTTATTTTCTGCAATAATTCAAACTCCAATGGAAAAACTGCATTGGCATTTTATCAAAGGAATCGGGCGATGCTGACTTTCGGGTTGGACTACAAAAATACTTCATCCCAGCAGCACTCTATACCCTTAATGTTACACCAGTTAGCATGCTAACATAACTATCAGTTAAACTAGCTCCTGCATCGTATCCCTCTGTGTAGGGTTTGTTTCATTTTTTGCAGTTGCCATGGTAACACAGCATACTGTGTACAGCAGGGTGTTTTGTTGTACATTGAACATGATGCGCATTACATCACAGTAATACAACACTTAACCAGAAAGATAAGCATCATAACTTCATACCTCCTGTTTCAGAGACATCCTTCAACTCATGTGGTTCAACATATTCAACAGGAAGCTCATTAAGGATGTCTTGTGCTCCCTGCAGGATGAAGAGAGGAGCATGATGAACTTAAATTTCAAACAGTTGTACTGGATACCGAGTATTAGTGTTTGTGTTTTTTTTGTTGTTTTTTTTTTAAACCTTGTTGTACCTTGGATACGTTGCCAGTACCGGTGAAACAAAACGTGAGGGGGCCAATTGATTTGGGCATGAGCCCCATGGAGATCTCATACCCACAATCCCTCACTGCCTGGATGGCCTGGCTGACATTCCTGTAGTTATGAGCCATGCCAATGTGCTGTGAACAGCAGAGAGTCAGGAAGTGATTGATAAGACTCACATGATGGCACAGAAAGTTGTTTACATGACAGATATTAAAGGAGAAGTTATTCTGTTTTTGATCAAATTTATGAAGAATGTTTTCTTACCATGAAGGGAGTGTGGTGCCCAAGAGCCAGAAAGCGCAGTCCCAATCCATGCAAAATGTTAATCATTCCTACAAAAAACAAAATTAATTCTGATTACAGACTATTCTGATATTATTCTCACATATACAATCATACACAGTCCAACGCATAGTGAAATTTCTCCTCTGCATTTAACCCATCCAAATTACTAGGAGCAGTAGGCAGCCACTGGCACCTCATGGACCAACTTTAGATCTAAGCCAGTGTCTTGGTTAAGAGCACTGACTGGAGAATTAACCCAAAATACATTTTTGATGGGGGAAACCAGAGCACCCAGAGGGAACCCAAGCAAACACAGGGAGAACATGCAAACATCACCGCTAATTGAAAGCAACAGTGCTAACCACTGAGCAACCGCGCTGCCCAATAAGATTGAGTGCGTTCGAAATTAACTTTTTGCCCACTCACCATTGTGGCTGGTGGATTCCAAAACCTACCAGCTTCCATTTTTTTTTATTGACACAAAAAAAAAAAAAAAGCATGTCTCTGTTGATTGAATCCATCCATAGCCAGGTACTTCACCATTACCATCAGTTTCACAACAGCTGCTGCTGTCAGACACTTTCACATCATCTCGTCATTTCCCTACCTGCGACACCGGCCCACTGACCAAACGCTACAATGCGGTAGCCGTTAGGATCAACCATCTTCTCGTAGTCGATCAGACGAACCTCCTGAGAAGACAAAATTTATTTCATTATAGTTTTAAAGTAAGACAAATACACATGTAATACAACAAGGAAGATAAAAGAGTGTCTAAATATCTCCCAGTACAGAAGACAAAACTGCTCTCGTACATCATACCGACAGATTTTAGTTTATTTTATTTTGGGTTTTTTAACCACAGCATTAATAAGGCCAAATGTGCTGGAAATATCAGGCAGATGTTCTGTCTCCCACTGAATCTGTATCTTGTTTGTGTTTGTTCACTGTGGGAATCAACACAAGTGTTCCTGTTTCAGGTGTCAACAATTGCACCACAGCACATCTAAATAAAGTTCAACTGAATTCTCAGTTCACCCTTATTGCCACTTTGACAGACACCCTGCTGCTGACTGACCCTTTGTTGCTGTGGGTGTGACTGCACAAGCAGTGCGTGAACATACATACTGACCTGCTGCATGTATGGGTTTACAGTAACCAGGCTGGTACAGTGCATGTAAACATGTTCTCCAATTACCTGCATATCCTGGTTGCTTAAGTGCAAGTAAATGTACTTAAGGGTAGAAAAGGTTGTATATTGTACAAATTTTAAAGTTGAGACACAAATTTGTAGTTTGGAGTACATGAATCAACTTGACTTTCATTCAGTGCACTTTGTGTGTGTGTGTGTATATATAGAAGCAGTTCTATGAAAACAGAGTTGTATCCAACCCACATGGTATGTACTGGTTTCACAGCATTCTGACCATGTAGGACATCCAAAATGGAAGCAGATTACAATGACAACTCCATGTCCCACAATGCAACATATGCACAATATAGCATATGACTGGAACAAAAGTGTCATATTGTAGGGATATGCAGGAATATTTTAAGAGATCTTTTGAGCGCTCTCACCTTCTTCAGCAGGTCATCCAGAAGCCCCATGTTGGCCTCCTGAGCCTTGATGGTGTGGGAGAAGAAAGCGTATGTCTTCCTGGGAAAGACCTTCTCCTCCGGTGGCCTCTTCACCCCGATTATCAGAGACGCCTCTGAAATGTCCTCCTGAACGATGGCCCCCACCCTCATGTAGTACTGAAAACAAGAAAGGCTGAATTTGACGGCTGGCAGAAGCACTCAACACTTCTAAACAGTAAGATCTAACTTTATTGAGCCCCTGGGAGACATTAACATGTTACAGCAGCACAAGAGATGGGACGGGAGGAAGAAAGGAGGAGATAGGAGGAAGAAAGACAGATAAAGAACTATTTGAATGAAATAAATACAAACTTCTGAGTATTTGTGCAAAAGAAAGTCAGAGAAATCTGTATTTTATTCAGGTATTAGTTAGTTTCACTGGTTGCCTATCAATGGCTCATTCCTGCATGTGTCTGGGTTGTGGTTGTCCACCAGAAGCTGTCATAAATGGACTTTTTATCCAGTTTTAACCCCCTCCAGAGTAGCAGACAGGCTGCCCGGGGTGTTGTTTGTTTTTAAGGTGAAACTGCTTTATTCTGTTTGTTTATTATGGCTTTTAATCACTGGGTGTGTTTATTTTAGAGAGAAGGAGAGCTCTGAGGATAATTGGGCTCCCGGTAGAAACCTGAACAAACACTGACAGAATCCTAACAGAGATAAGCTGACTGCAATGACAGCAATGGTAGATTGATGATCCCACACTACTTCACGACGCCATTCAACATCGTATCTTGGTATTGTTTAACAGCTAAAACTCGTGATGTGCACGGTTTTCTTCTCTTTTTTTACAACCAGGCATTGTTTAGCGCCTCACCTTCTCGTGGATGGCTCTGCGGTTGGATGGCTGCACCAGAACTTTGACGCCGGCGTTGGTGAGCTCTTTGACGTGGCGCGGGGCCAGTGGCGCCCTCCTCTCCCAAGGGTTGATGTCCTCTCTGCGGATGGCCATGACGGCCCTGTGGTGCTCATAGCGCCGCTGGCCTGCGAGGCAGCTCTGCGTCCTCTTACCTTGGTGACTGAGGAGTCTGAACATGACTTCACCCCCCTGCTCAGGACAAAGACACGGAGCCACATACTGCTGAACAGTCACGACGAAGACGCTGGCTTGTGAAATTCAGCCACGAAGTGACGCAATTTGGAAAATACAAATCACACAGACATGTTTTTTGTTTCTTTGACCATCCGAACAGCACATATATACAACTTGACAATCACTGGGAAGTAGAGGTCAGAGGTCAAGTGAAGTTTGCTGCTGGGCGAGAGCTGCTGAGGAACAGGTGGTTTTGTCAGGTCAGAGTTCACTCAGACACAACTGCAATAAAGCTCCCACACACACTACCCTGTTACCCACCTCCAGTTCACATGCTAAGCTAAGCTAAGCTAAGACCTATTAGGTGCAGAAACAGACACCTTTAAGCCTCTCCATACCCCTCACATTTATCTTGCAAGCCCTTGAGGGGTCTCGATCCCTAGGTTGGGAACCACTGGTGGTAATACAGTTAACCTGAAGCTACTGCATTTGAAATATTCCCACAAAACTATAAGACACTAAGTCAGACCTGTGTAAAGGCAGGATTTCACACACACTATGTTTTATTATCTACTGCAGCAGTTCAGTGTCAGTGAACGCGCAGCAGGCACTGTGAAGTCAGCACACACACATTAATGGAGTCCCTGTGCTGCTTTAACCTACAAAGCAAAGCCCCATGGCTCGGGTCAGCTCGGGTCAGCTCAGTCCTATCAGTCACACACATTCAGCAAAGTATCGATACACTGATCGATCGTCAACTGACGCACTCACCTTTCTGACCGGCTCTGACGAGGAAATGTGGCGAAAGCGTTCACCGACAAACCCGGGGAGTCACACAGAGGTGAGGCGGGGAGAGAGGAGCCGCAACTTCACCCACTGCAGTTCATACACACACACACACACGGTAAACTGTTCCGGTTCCGGGCAGAATTTCAAAATAAATCTTTACTCCGAAGAGAACAAAATGAACATCATGCTGTGTGGAAGAAGACTCCCACTAGGAAACAGTTTTCTGTTACATTACATGCAACTGGGCTTTTTTTTGCTTCCGCATTGGGCTCATTTCACAAACCAGCTCCATCCACTTTGTATTATACAGTCTATGTTCATGAAAACACTGCCACTTCAACCGGCTACCACAGAGGACATTGTCCTTGAATACAGATAGGGATAAAGCTGTTTTTGAAAGGATAAACTCTCTGTCCCTTGTATCATAATAACATCTTCATAGTTTCACTAACGCAGAAAGGAGGTTCCGGCCAAATGAGATATAGTTCTTGGGAAAGAACATCTTCTCTGTTTCTCACAGACAGAATCACCAAACGTCCCAGGTGCTGTACAGAAAGATAACATTGGCCTTCTTATGGCTTGTGTGTTCGAGTTTATTATGAACCAGAGAGCGGTTCATAATAAACTTGAATACCTCTTGGTTATGAAAATAATATGGTTGCTTTGATTAATATAAACACAGCTAGAGAATAAAAATAGGTCATACAAAACTACATTTCCTTTGACAAAACCTGAGCTACATTAGGCCTACAATAGTTTCAGATATAAAACATTGTAGAAAATGAGTTGTCCTCCATAATGTGCAAACATAGCAAAGAAAAAGACAGATATGGAAAAGATTTTAACCCGGTGCTACATATTATTCACAACAAATTAGACCTAAAATGTAAGACTATAAACTGCGAAACCTCATATCCTGTATGTATGCAGTGTCTGCCCATAGCTACATACAGCAGAATTCAAATGTGTATCAGTATTTTTAACAAGGAGACGATTAAAACAGTAGTAGAGACTGTTGTAAAGCACACACAAGTGCAGTTCTGATACATGGTGAAACTAGTCTGAATTGTACAAGTTTGTATTTTATTTTGAAGGTAAAACCACCACATTTCCATGTTCCGGGCTAATGCTGGGCAGTTGTTCGTGCTGCCTGAGGGCCACAGATCAATAGTGTGAATGGGCCCACAGGCAGATACCTGGTGCTCCCTTGTGGGAGGAGAACTGTCTGAAAACAAATGTTTGGAATGTCTCCGTAGATACAACACAAGGGTCACTTTGTTTTTGTGTACAGCGCACCCCGTGTGGACGGTTCAGTACAGTACAAACGCGCTTATCAGAAGCAATATTTTATTAAAAAACACACGCATGTCTGTATTTACTTATACTCAAGAGAAAAACAGTGGAGGATATTTTGATCAATTCCAGGCGGGGCGGTGCTACGGGGATGTGACCGCCCGTACAAGCTGCCCACAGAATAAAAACGCTCGCTACCCGTTCCTCCGTAGAGCGTCTTCAGAGCACGCGCTGTGTCTGCAGGACGTGCAGCTGAAGTCTCTCCACCAATCAGCTGCCAGAGCTGAGGAGCGGCCTCCTGCTCAGCCCGTCGCACTGTGATGACCGAAGCAACTGGAGAAAGTGTGAGGAACAGCTGCTGAACATCTGGAGTAAGACCTACCCATCATATATATTTCTCTTAAGGTGTTCGACCATATATTATACCCATGAATTCAACTTCAGAAGCATGAAGTAAAACGTTCCTGAGCTGGCCTGTCCTATGTGTGATCTAAAACTGAGTGCATAGCCTGTACTTATATATATATATATACTTATATAATATAAATCTAATATAAGTATATATACTGTCAATGGTTGAAACATATAAGCTTTACAGAGTAAGGAATCTGCTTGTTTGTATTTACTTAAATGTAGTTACTTTATAGTGTTTGTCTGTATGCCTGTTTTTTAAAGCAATGACTTCAGTATGTCTGTATTTATGAAATATAGTTTTTAAATGTAGTCTGCATTTGTACTGTAGCCTTTTTATGCTGATGATGAATCCAAACTCTTCAATCTCCAGCGTATGAATATTCTCTTTATTTAGTTATATTTTAACTTTTGTTAAGCTGATATGCAGTCAGCATATTCATAGTGAAATACTTCAAAAATATTTTGAGAAAGTGATCACACACAGTTGATATCATTTATTTTCCTTGTTAAGCGTCTGCAGCATGAGGCCAAAAGAAACTAACCTTCACCTTGACAAGAATCTTTTATAACAGTGGTACAATTTAAAATAAATATCATAAAACACTTCTTTTTACAATAATCCTGAGATTGAAATCTAAAATAACAACTGACTGACTGGCGGAGAAAGGCCTCAGCTCGTCTTCCTCCGTCAGTCAGGACCAGAGATGCAGAGGTGAAAATCTGAGTACAGTCCGACAGGTTCTTCTTTTAGTTTGTTTTTTTTACTTGAAACAGAAGTTGAATTTGTTACTGTCAGCTTTAATTTGAGGGTGTTTGTATCCAGATCACATCAACCGTGTAGAATAATAGTCAATCTTATAGTGGTAACGTTCTGGTTTATTACAACTTGGGCCTTATTTTCATAGTTTTGACCATCATTTTTATCATTATTAATAACATTGTACTAAAAGTGACAATTTGGGTAAAAATCCTGAATTGAAGAGGAAAACTGTGCACACACAACATCGTTTGCTCGTGTTTGCAGACATTATGTGGATGTAAGCACATCCAAACAGTCTTGAGTCAGTACAGAACAAACACCTGTTATCATGTGACCCAAGTTCCATATCGGGGTCATGTGACTTGATCTGTGTTGTTTTTGGATTTTTTTACCTCTTTTTTTTGCCGCATCTCTGATATTAGGGTTCATCAATCTCACATCCTGAGATGCAACTGAAAAATAATGAAAACTAATAATCACTGATGACTAATGATATAATAATTAGCCACCATAATAATTAACTAATAATCAGGGCAGGAAGGTTAAAGTTCAGTGTGTCCTCTGTACAGTCTCCTCAGTCCAGCATGAGCTGAGAGCAACAGAAGCATCGCGGCCAGTCGCAAGCTTTTCTCCCGCCAGTTTCCAGGCCTGTGTCAGGGCCAGAGGGTTCAGAGGTCAGGGGTCAAGGTTTAGGTCATATTAGGTCTGAGCCACTGCCACTGCGGGGCCTGGAGGGGTTAGGAAGTGTCCTGATGGCTTTTGCAGGGTCAAGTTCGAGGGGAAAGGTGAGGCTGGGGGTCAACAGGCCTGAGAGGTGACTGGAGGAGTCGAGGACAGGGTTTCCTTGTGTGTTTCTTCTGCGTGCCATTTAGGGCGGCGCATCAGAGAAATTTGTACAAATGAAAAATGTCTGTTATTTGTAGGAATTTGTATTTAGGAAATGACCTTTTCTTTAAAACATACACTGACCTCATCAAAAATGTTTTACATAAGCTTTATGGACCCCAAACTTTGGTAAATAGAGATCACATTTCATCATAATGTGACAAAATACTGTTGGATTTCATAATTTAATGCAAAAATGTGTCCCTTTTCAGCCAGGCCACTGCCCAGATTTTGGAAATGAGGTTCACCATGTTTCTTCATGATTGATCATGATTGTCAACTTTTGTCTGAGATAGACAAAATTTGCGTTACAAACTGGACATGTGGAGTTTGAAAAACGCAGGTGTTTACAAGGCTGGGAGATTCTAATCCAAAAACACAATCCAGTCTTGGCCTCTGCTGCTTTGATTTAGACCATTATTTTTAAGGTCTCAAAAGAGTCCAAATGAAAGATATTTCATGGCTGCACAGGAAAGACAAAAGTGGCCATATGAAGCCATCTGAATACAGGATTTAGTGATTTGAAGTAAATTACAATAAATTATTGATTAAAAGAGATTTCTAAATGACTAATTTGGGGTAACAAAGTACAAAAATTGGTCAAGTGAGGGCACAAGTTCCTAATTTATGAAAAAAAAATCCCTAACACTTACAGGGTGCATCCGTACATCTGGCATATTCTGTAAATTTAGTTCCAGGCCTGATGGGGGAGGTCACGGCGGACCTGATGTATTTTTTTGGTGTGTCGGGATGACGGGTACAGAGGCAATGTTCAGGCCTGCGGGGGCGACTGCGGGCCTGCCGGGTCATGCAGCTTCCTGATGTGTTTCTTCAGATCAAAGTTCCTGCAGAAGCCCTTGCCGCAGGTGGGGCAGGTGAAGGGCTTCTTGTCATTGTGCGTGTGCATGTGGAAGGTGAGGTTGTACACCTGGTGGAACGCCTTGCTGCAGATGGAACACTTGAACTGCTTCTCCCCGCTGTGCGTCAGCTTGTGGTTCTTGTAGTTTCCTGCTCGGAGACAGAGGACGGGGTGTCAGATGAGCACAAGAAAAAACAATAAAAAACTATATACTTTGACAGTTTTTTCACTTTCAAAGGAAAGTAATAAAAATGTATAAAACTTTTTGTCTTTGGTTGTTCCGTTGGATTATTTATTTAACAATAAAAAAGGTATAAATCTAAAGAAAAGTCTGAAATGTTAGGATTCTGAAACTGACATTTGTACTGCTAGATTTGACAATTAAAAGCAGAAAGCGTTTGAAAGTGTTGCAGTCTGATATTAAAATTATAGCTGTTGAAATCATCAAACACAGACCTCAGTGTTTTCAGTGGTAGGAACAGCCTTGATTTTGCTTAGAAAACTTTGATAAATAGCAGAATTCTGTTCATAAAAATGTTGTTTTAACTTTTCTGCACAAGGGACATGCAGGGGGGCCAAATGAAGTAATCTGACAGGACAATTTACTGAATAAAGGTGACTAATTCAGTAATTTAAGGGAACAAAAGACATATTTTAGGGAACAAAAGTACTATATTGAACGTAAAAATTAGTATATTGGAAAAAAATGATTTGAGGACACTTTGCCTGAGAGTCAAATTTATATTAATATTTAGTCCAACAACATATCTGAATCAGCCTCCAAACTGTGCTTCCAACTCTCCTGATGATCTATGAGCAGTGTCTTATTAATGAGGCACTGAAAATGGCCTCAGTGCTGGAAAGAAACGAATACATTTACTCAGTGTTAAAGTTCTGGTACTTTACTGGCTTCCATTTTATGAGCAATCAAGCTGCCCAGAAATGTAAAATTTGCTCCACTTTTACTGCAACATTAAAATGATAGAACATAATAATAAAACATATAGTACTCAGAGATGGGCTGTTATGTATGATGAGTACTTCTACTTCTGAAGTAGACACTAATATTCTGTAATATTTCTAATGCAGGGCTTTTACTGCAGTAGTTCTGCGTACTTCCTCCACCCTGGGTTTAAAAGACGCTACATTTACATTTACTGCTTTAAATTATGTAAAAGTGAAGAGTGCGTGTTTTCTTAACTTGAAAGATAAAAAAATATCACAGTAGGCTAAATTATTATTATTACACTTTTATTGTGAATAAAAGTGTTCCGGTAGATGTGCTGAATTTTACATAGGCCTTTTACAAGAATACAATAACTAGACAATATATTATTATCATTATTATTATTGTTGTTATTATTAGGCTATTATTATTATTATTGATTGAAGATTATGATCCTTCAAACTGAAAAGCAGCGACTGTAATCAGTTTGTCATTTTGAGCTCCGGTTCTTTTACTAAAAGATGAAATAGGGACACTTTGGGCAGGTCATCCTCACCTTTCTGATGAAATCCTTTCCCGCAAAACTCGCACACGAACGGTTTGTATCCCGCGTGGATGCGCGTGTGCGTGTTGAGGGTGGAGCTGCGGTTGAAGGCTTTCCCGCACTGGTTACACTTGTGCGGTTTTTCCTGGAAACATGTAAAGAAATAAAATGAGCCCATCACGGTGGAAAAAAAGAAATAATATTACTGAGTCTTATTATTAATATAATAGATATTAGGAATTGTTTCTGTGACGCACCACGAGAGGATCCACAGTCGATACTTTAATGCCTGTTTGACCTCACTTTGTATCCTGTATTATACAGGACTTGTTTTTTATTTTTCATTTGTTCGCTTCAGGATTTGAATATGGCTCACTTTCTGCACATTTTCAGAGGGAACATTGGTCTGAGAATACTGTAGAGATATTTCTGTACGGATGGAGTGTCACAGTGACGCCACAGGAGGAGCTCAAACACAACAAACTGCTGATCAGAGGCTCACATGCTGTCTGCACCAGCACCGTCTCAGGAAAAAGGAAAACAATAGCTGTCATTATCATCTAGATTTATTTACACAACATGTTTGAATTTCAGTTGGACTTGAATGCGCCTGTAAAATCGCCATCTTCCTCTTTATAATAAAGGGATACTTTTACTAAATGGATTAATGTTTGGCTTTACAGGATTGTGAGGACACATACATTTATCTTTAAGCCTTAAAGTGGGTTTGGTCTTTAAATGTATTCTAAAAGTCCCGCCCACATATAAGAATACACATAAATGTATATGATTGGTAACTGCTGTCGCTTTAAAATTGATTGACAGGTGTTCTTCAAAGTTAGGAATGTGCTCTGTTGACAACAGGCCTGTAAGGAGGACCACATGTTATTTTGTTATCAGGGTTCTGATGCGTCACAGATATCCGGGTGAAATAAATTGGCCTAGGCTATTTTTTTTATTACTTTTATTAATTAACTTGTCTCGTGCCAGTACGGCGGATTTTATATACTGATAATAACAATTTACATGAACACTGAACCCCGTCCTACCTGAGTGTGGATGATCTTGTGTCGGCACAGTGTGCTCGCCTGTCGGAATCCTTTCCCGCAAACTTTACACACGAAAGGTCGCGCGCCGGTGTGCACGGGCATGTGGCGGGTCAGGTTGTAGTGCGCGTTAAACACCTGCAAGAGAAAATGTAAAATAATAATAATAATACTAATAATAATAATAATATACATTTAATCCCCTCCTGTCCTGGTTGAAGGATGTATCAAGTGGCTCGTGGATTCCATTAAAGCCAAAAAGACAGTAAAAAAAAAAAGGATCGCGTGCCCTTAATTATCAGATTGAGTGTAATTAAAGGCAATTGAAGGTAATCTCTCAGGGGTCATTAATGGACTTGAAGTAAATGTAATGGGCTGTTTAAAACACAATAATAACGACATAAACCCGCGTTACAAAGATACATACGTTCCTAAACAGCACATGTCATCCTCAAGAATATTTGGCGTTTTTAATAAGTGACTAATCTTGAGTTAACAGAGGAATTAATAACATTTCATTCATTTCCTGAGAGAAACCTTTGCACATCCAGTATCCAGCTCAGTATCCGGTTTAAAAGAGAATCAGACCGTACACAGCACCGGTAAACAAAACAAAACAAAGCGCAACGAGGATAAATAAAAACAAATACAAACAATTAAATGACTAAATGATACTTTGTCGTTATGATGGAAAAATGCTAATTTTGGAAAATCACATGTTCTGAAAAAGGGGCCAAAATGAAATCAAAGAGGAAACGATCTGAACTGATCCTGAAAGAAAGTCTAAATAAATACAGTTTTGTTTCCATATTTAGTCAGCAAACATAAAACTGTTAATAAACCTAAATTAAAACAGTAGTTCGTTTGTAATCCTGTCGTTATTTAGTTTCTTTATGACACAAACATGTTACAAAGTTAGAGCATATTTAATATCCTACTACCTCTAAATGAGGGAATTAAAGTCACCCCCTAATAATCTATCACCCTGATCAAATCTAATAATCTACATTTCTGGAGTTTATTTCGATTTATTGTAAAAAAAACAGCCTGAGTAGATCGGATTATTTTTATTTTTTTTTCAAATCCATCCAGAATTTAAAAAAGAAAGAAAAAGAATCAGGAATTAAAGCCTCCCAATCGATAGTGTAATTAACTAATGAATCACACTGCAGGTTTGGGGGGTTGCTGTGGTTTAGAATGTTCCGTGCAGGACTCTCACCTTGCCGCAGACCTCGCAGGTGAAAACTTTGGGCTTGCTGCCGGGACAGGACCCGCTGAGCCGCGCCGCCGCCGCCGCCGCCGCCAGCCTAGAGCCCTTGAAGATCTTGTCGGTGAGGATTGGTCCCGCTCTTCAATGTTAGTGTGCTGGATCTGGTGCCTCTGAGACAAGCTCCTTGAAGGCCCGCCAACGCCGGACACCGGTACCGCTCCCGGCCTGCTGCAGGCCCGGCTTGCTTTTCTCGCCATGAAGGCTTTGTGCTCGGGCGGTGAGCAAGGTAGGATGGCATCGGGCTGCAGTTGACCAGGCCGGACCGGCGGACACGACCCGCTGTCCCCCGCTGCAAAGTTTCAAGGTAGCACACGGTTGACCATGGGGGGAAGGAGGACCTGGTTCACCACGCGGGGTCGAAGAGTTTGTACTGGCCGCTTGCTTTGGCTCACAGCGGAGTCCTCCTGCTGGTTCTTGTAGTTCAACCCAAAAGCCCCAAAAAGTCTGCGGAGCGGCGAGAGAAGAAGCGTACGAAGTGGGCCCCGGATCCAGCCCGGTGACACTGAGCGGTGCCCGGCTCGTACCCGAGTGCACAGAAAGCGAGAAACATACAAAATAGCACAGCGAGGACGGACAGGCGTCGGGTTTCCCCACGGGAGCGGACTGGAACCAGCTGGGAAGCGGTATCGACTTGGGCTCGGGCGTCCTGGCCATAATCCGGTCGATGGAGAAAGCGAGAGGCTTGCTGCTGCTGCCGCCGGAGGTGAGCATGTCGGAGCCCGCGGGCTGGCTCCCAGAAGCCGAGGGGGAGCCGAGGATCCCCGCTGGGCGGCGGAGAGGACCGTCCATCACCTCCGCATCAACCGCGCCGCAACAACAACAACAACAANNCAACAACAACAACAACAACAAGCTGCTGGAGGGAAGCCGGAGGTCGGTGCTGCTCCTCACCGGCCCGCAGGAAAGGGCATCATCTGCCGGGGAACCCCCCCTCCTAATCGCCGGCGCTGTTCTCTCTGTTATTGACAACAATCAGGGCGGCCGCAGCTCGCTCGATAACGGCGTGCAGAGAGCCGAGACCTCGTCGATCGTTACCGTCCAGGAAGGAGAGCGGAAAGGTAGATAATTTGTTCAATTCTCCTCCGTTGATTGTCTGCACTTGTCGCCGCTGGAAGAGGAGGAAGAGAGGAGGAGGAGGTTGTCCCTTACTTGGCAGGACTCCTGCTCAACTGGAAGGTATTTGGTAAATCCCAGGTCCCCTTGTGGCTTCGCGTGACATCACTTTTTTTTCTTCTAATCGCAGTACACCAGTCGCGCAGCGGCCGCGGGGTCAGGAGCCGTCAGAGTTTTACATCAGATCTGGACGCATCCTTGGCTCCCGAAACCCAGCCTTTTTACGCACGCCTCAGAGAGGACACAGAGCTGTCATGTGGGTGAACTTGAGACAGGAAACGGATCGAGGTATTGAACAGAAAATGGCTTTCGAGTCATCGATCTCAGTCTGGGTGAGCTTTGGGTCTTTGAATCACAAACTTTGACTCGAGCGCTTTTTTCCCCTTTTCTTTTACGCAGCAGATTTTTGGATGCCAAAATCCACGTGCGGCAGAAAAGACTCTTCTAGTTAGACTCTGATAGATGTCTGCTGAAGAAGCAACATGAGAAATAACCTGCGCGCTCTCCTGTCACTGCGTCCTGTATTTCTATCGAATGCAAACGGCTCTTTTACGCACAGAGAGCACGCTGTAAAAAAGGAAGAAAGAAAAAAAAAAAAACTCAGCGAGCAGAAACGCAAATTCCACAAGATGAATCAGTGAGACTGACGGTGTACAATACCTTCATCTTGTCAGGAATGACAGAAAGGGAGTGGGTTTGATGCTGGTTTAGCCTTTTAGGGTTTGAAGAAAATATGGAGATAAATAACAGTGACCGCTGAGGGCCTGAAGAGCGACACGAACACACTCAGCAAATACACACCGCAACACAGCGAAGACATATGATCTGTTTGTGTCGGTGGACTCACGCTGATGTTCTTTTATTGGTGCATTACACAAAATATGTTAATTGTTTCATCTTGAAGAACTTTGTGAGCGCTGCGAAAAGTTTTACAGAAAGCGTTTCACAGTCAGACAGTGTCTGATTATTTGTGACATTTCTTTGGATAATGATCCCATTCTGCCTCTCTCTCCTTCCTCCAGCCACATTCCCACTCCGTCGGTCATTGCCATTCTCTTTCCGTCCACCAGATGCCCTCTGACTTTTTCTCCTTCCCCAGCCACTCCCTCCTGTCCTACAATAACCCCTTCCCCGCCCACCCGCTCACCTGTTTCCACTCTCACCTGGCCCACTTCAGTTCATCCTTGCTATGTTCCTGTGCTGAGCTTCTGTCACCCAAACCCTATCTGTCTACATGCCTGCCTGTCTGCATACCTGTACCTGCCAGTAAGCTATTTCCATCTAATAAACCACTGAAGTCTTCCTGCTTTGTCTGCGTTTGAATCCAATCCTGTCGTTTCCTGAGTCGTGGCATTAAATAATTGATTCGCTGTGAGGAAGAAGTCAAAGACAACCGCAAAGAAAAGGAAGGCTTTATCTTCAACATGAAAATCTCTCACAAAAGCTTAAAAACTCAAAGAACTGAATAATGAGAAGAAAGAATACATATAAAAACAATCTCATCTGTGGATATGATAATATTTAAGAACCTGTGGGGAATGAATGAATAACGAAGTCTTCTAGTTTTAATGAAGTGTGGGATTTCCAGTGTTTTTAAGGGTTGTTGGATATTTATGGTCGCAAAGAAAACTCGAACATTGTTCACAGAATCACATTATCAGTACGAGGATGTAACAATCATTACTATAACAAGTCGCATACATTAGACCAGTCAGTCACATTGTGTAATAGACTGCTCCCCGCTCCTGTGCTGTCCGGACTGTCCCATTTCATTTTATTACGTTAGTGTTTGTTTACTGCTTTTTATTATTTATCTGCTCCATGTTATGTTTTTATTTTTATTATGCATTGTTTTGGCCTTGTAATATTTTATGTTTTTGAAACATTTTGTTTTATAACAATAATACTATTAATGGAAATACTTTAAAACTCTCTTGTTTAGCATTTCTAAGCAATAATAAACGATTTATAACGAAATATAATGTAAGCAGATTATAGTGTTAATTAATGTTTTTGTCAACAAATATAACTGTGAGAGCAGCAGAGGTGGATGCTGCTAAACAAATAGTGAATGGCAATATGGTAAAACACAGCTGAAAGAACTTACAATTATTAACAAATATTGTACATTAATAAACACAAACAAATGTCCTTTAGCTGCTTACAACGGAATTATAATGTCAGAAAGCACTTATCAAATGTTTATTATTAGTTCTTAATGCTAAAGGAAAACAAAGTATTATACAACTACTACTAATAATTATTATAATAAGAACGATGACAATAATAATAATAATAATAATAATAATAATAATAATAACATTATTATTATTATTATTATTATTATTATTGTATCATGTATTATGTGT